AGGGGGGGGGTGTAGAGAGACAAGCTGCTCACACCTGCAAGAGGAACGCACGTTTTTCAACGTTCAAAAAGTCGCAAACTCTCCCTAGCAAAACTGGCGTCACTAACCATAGCAGAAGCCACCAGTCACGTGAATTCTAATGTCTTCTTTTTCTCTGTCAGGTCTGTAAGAAAAGATACAATGATATTTTCCCCTACAGATGTATCAGTCATCGCCAGACATTGACCAACGAACTACTAAAATATCACAAAGAAGTTATTTAAAACAGACATTGACCAACGAACTACTAAAAAATATCACAAAGAAGTTATTTAAAAGAGGCAAATATAATTAGAAAGGGTACAGATGTGGCTGGTATGCACAAATACTTCTTTGCAATCTCTGCGAACATTGGACGTGATTTCGCGTGGTCAGACCAATACTGCATCGGGTCTCTGCACCTGGGAACTTGTTTGTCTTGAAGGTACCGCCGGAACTGTAGCTGACCTTCTGTTTGGTTTGATCTGTGAGAAACTGATGCACCGACATCTTCGTCAAATTCCCGCCACAACTCGTCAATGGCGGACGCACAGGTGCCGAGTTTCAGTTCTGGTTCATCGTGTGGCGCTACTTGGTGCGATGCCGTTGTCTCAGTCACAAGTTCTCCCTGCGTTTGAGCAAAACTTGCAACGTCTTTGAACGGAATTGTCTTGTACCTCAGGTCGATCAGTGGAACGATCAGGGTAACGATCAGTGGAACGATCAGTGGAACGAGCAGTGGAACGAGCAGTGGAACGATCAGTGGAACGATCAGTGGAACGTTAGCAGTAGATCAGTGTAGCGTTAGCAGTCGATCAGTGTAGCGTTAGCAGTCGATCAGTGTAACGTTAGCAGTCGATCAGTGTAGCGTTAGCAGTCGATCAGTGTAGCGTTAGCAGTCGATCAGTGTAACGTTAGCAGTCGATCAGTGTAATGTTAGCAGTCGATCAGTGTAACGTTTCCAAAATGTGGAAGTTTCCCGCAAGCATGTGTTTTTCTAAGCACTTTGAAAGGGGGAGCGTTGATGTTGATGCCTGTGACGTAGAGATCTGGAGAGAGGGACGGCCATGCCAAGTGTGGTCGTTTTTTCAGCAGACATTGCCTCTGTGTCTTGCAGAAATGGTTTCAAAGATCAGATGGTTTCAGCAATCCTCTCAATGTCCTCATCAGATAGACACATTGTTTTTCCACCTATCTCCGAGAGTTGCCGTCACCGAGTCCTTTGGTTCAAGAATGCGCTGAGGCATTAGTAGTAATAGTAGCGTTGATTTCCAACGTGTGTCCACATCGCTGATCCGTTCATTGGCGGGAGACCTTGTTGAAGGTGGATGGCTCTGAGGCGGTCACTAGTTGAAGGTAGATGGCTTTGAGGCGGTCACTTGTTGAAGGCGGATGGCTTGGAGGCGGTCACTAGTTGAAGGTAGATGGCTTTGAGGCGGTCACTTGTTGAAGGCGGATGGCTTTGAGGCGGTCACTCGTTGAAGGTAGATGGCTTTGGGGCGGTCACTTTCAAGAACATTCCTGTGGAAGTACTCGACTATCTTCTTCACTTTCGTCTGCAGCTCTGTAACGCCTTCTGTCTCTTGAGTTGCCACACGTATAATCAAGTTGAGGGTGTGGGCAAAACACGGGAGGCGACTAATGCCCTTCATCCTCACCGCAGCCTTCATGATTGCTGCATTGTCAGAGATGATAGCAACAATTTTGTTGGTCAATGAACATTCTCCTATCAGCTCTGCGAGCTCAGCAGCAATGTTTTCTGAGGTGTGGTTGCTTGTCACGTGCACGTCCGAGACTACCTGAACTCGTGTCATTAGCGACATTCTGCACTGTCCCTGATTAAGAAAATCATGAGTTTGGGTTGAGGTCCAGATGTCCGATGTAGTTGACACGTATTCTGCCGACTGAAGACTTGCAATGAGTTTTCTTTTTCTCCCTCTCATATAGAGAGGGCAACATGTCTCTCACCACTGTTCGTGGTGACGACAACTCGTACTTTCCGTCCAGGCCACGTACAAAGTGTCTGTTGGAAGTTACATTTTTATATGGGAAAACATAATTTGTGGTGTTTTACGTGTCTTGATTGCAGTCTCGCATAATTTACACCTCACATTTCTCGTGGCTTCTATGGAGGGGAAACAGGCCCAAACGACACTGCTATGTGAAGATGACGACTTACCTTAACTTGCCTGTAGTGAGAGTGAGCCCTGAATGAAATGAGACACGTAAATAGCTGTTCTAGACCAAGCCTTTCAATTTTCTTCGTAGTTTAAAATTTTCGAGTAGTTTCAATATTCCATGACGCTTCGATTTTCCTCGTTGTCTGCTAATTCCTGGAAATGCGGTGGTGAGTAGTGGACATATCGAAATATCAATATATCGATGTTTTTCTCACTGCTTTGTTACGACGTCGATATGTGTAAAAAATATCGGCATATCGAGATTTCGATTTCGATATGCCCACAACTAGTGATGGCAGTCAGGCGTAACCGTTGTCCATGATTTCCCAAGTTATCCTAGCCGAGTTGATTTATTGGATTGATGAAGGATAGCTGCAGATTCAAACAATGACGAGGGGCAGCTGCAAAGTTCGTGTTTAAAATCTGTGTTGTCTTCATATTTTGAAATTGCAGCTGTCACTAATCTCTGAAACAACAACTGAGAATCAATAGTCACAGGGTCGTGGTTACTCTATAGAGCTGTCTTTGCAGCTGTCACAAATCTCTGAAACAACAACTGAGAATCAATAGTCACAGGGTCGTGGTTACTCTATAGAGCTGTCTTTGCAGCTGTCACAAATCTCTGAAACAACAACTGAGAATCAATAGTCACAGGGTCGTGGTT